TTTGCTTTAGGATATGCCTGAGTTTTTCACCTGATTTGTTATTTCTTTAGGATTTTTGTTCTTAGAGAGTGGGATTACTGACCAAAGGGTATAAAGGTTAAGGGTCCTCTGCCGTTGTCAGACTGCTTTTTTAAAAGGCTCTGCAATTTATAATTTCATCACTGAAAAATAAATCATTTAACTACCTGTACTTCAGAGAGTATTAAAAATGTTGCTAATTTGAGAGTTAGGAAACATTATCTTCTTATTTGCACGTCTTTACTAATTTTTGAGACTGAAGACTTTTCCATATGTATTTCCAAAATTGGTCCAAGTTGTTTCATTTGAAAAATACTCTACGTGGGTAGAGTCCCAACCCTGGCATCACAGAATAGAGCAGGGTTTCTCAAACTTGGCACTGTTGACATTTTGGGTCAGATAATTTGTTGTTCCTGGGGGCTGTCCTCTGCATTGTACTACGTTTAACAGCATCCCTGGCCCCTACTCACCAGATGCTAGTAGGATCCCTGCAGTTGTGACAACCAAAAACATTTCCAAATATTGCCAAAAGACCACAGGAGTTGCCAGATTTTCCCAGACACTGCCAAATATCTCAGCCCCTGGCTGAGAACCACTGGAGTGGAGTACGGAGAATGAACTTGGAGCGCCAACACTCTAACTTCCCTGGCACCATCTACCCTTCTGGCTACTCTGCATCTATTGACACCCTTCAACACGCATTCCCGTGTCAATGTTGTTATCTAAAGACTGAATTGTAATCTCCAATGAAACTTGTATTAAATAATGAGGAGGAAGCAGAAGTGAGGAGAAAGTAGTTATATACAAATACACACGAAACCCACAAGGACAGACTGCTAGAACCTGTGCCTTTGACTCCATGGAAAGGAATTAGTTGAGACTAAATTGTATAAGGATATTATAACCCCTAGAAGCCAACATACATACAGAGTTCAATACCTTAATATAAGAGTCAGGAGCATTTCTTTGTTGGGTGATATATATATGAGATGGAGGATATATATATGTCTATATGTCATATATGTGTGTATATTTAAAAGTTCTTTTATGGAATATTTCAGATTTAAAAATTAATAGATTTTAAAAATCTATTAATAGTCAATCTTTTTTCATCTATAAGCCCACCTATCTTACCTCCTATTGGTTAATTAGAAGCAAATCTCAGGTTTCATAGGCTTAGGTGATTTTAGTAGTATAAAACAAGTTCCATTCTGACTGTTAATCTATTTTTTAATAAACTTTTTATTTTAGAGTAGTTTTAGATTTACAGAAAACTGCGAAGATAGTACTGAGAGCTCTTACATATCCCATACTGTTTCCCGTTAGTACCAGCTTAGGTTAGTGTAGCACACTTAGCACGGTTAATGAACTAATATTGATACATTGTTAGTAACTAACATCCATACTTTATTCAGATTTTCTTAGCTTTTACCTAATGTCCTTTTTCTCTTGTAAGCATGTTAGGTAAAAACTAAGGGTCCCGTCCAGGACACCACATTGTATTTAGTCATCATGTCTTCTTACACTCTTCTTGGCTGTGACAGTTTGTCAGACTTCCCTTATTTTTGATGACCTTGACAGTTTTGAGGAATCTTGGTCAGGTATTTTGTAGAATGTCTGTTAGTTGGGATTTGTCTCATGTTTTTCTCACAATTATATTGGGAATATGGATTTTGGGAAGGAAGACCACAAAGGTAAAATGCCATTCTCATCACAGTGTGTCAAGGGTACATACTGTGGTCAGATGGTTCATCGTGCTCACTCGGCTGAGGTAGTGTTTACCAGGTTTCTCCACTGTGAAGTTACCCTTTCTCTCCTCTTTTTCTACTGTACTCTTTCAAGAGAAGTCCCTTTGCACAGCCCACACTTAAGGAATGGAAGTTATGTTCCACTTTCTTGAGGACAGACTATCTAGATAAATTACTTGGACTTCTCCAGGGAGGTATGTTTTATCCTACCCTATTTATTATTTATTCGTGATTTATATTAGTATGAACTTACCAATACTTGTCTTATACTTTGGATTATAATGCAATACCACTTTATTTTGTTGCTCAGATTGCTCTAGCTGTGGCCATTGTGAACTCTTTCAGTGATTCCATCTGTTCCTTTGACATACCTCCGTCATTGTGGGTTTGTGTGGGTTTTTTTCCTTTTGTGGCACTTCCTTACTTTCTGGCAATACAAGGCGCTCCAGGCTCATATTGTATATTTCCTGCCCCAGTCCTAGAATCGGTCTTTTCTTCAGGGAGCCTTGATTCCTTTTATTGGAGAATGCTATTAGAAACCAAGATTTGGGCACTAGGTGTGCTTCTTGTTACTGGGTGTCATTCTTCTAGGCCCTCTCAGCTAACAAGCAAGGAAATATATATGTACGTACTAATCCTTGTATATACATATCTGTAAATATTTATATGTGTAACCATCTGTATCTAAAGCTCACATGTTAAGATAAACGTGTTCATACTGATGTCTTGAACTGTAATTCATTACCACGTGGATTAGTCTAGCCTTCTGCCCTTGCTTAGTTTAACTTCCTTAGTGTAACTACCCTAAAAGAAAATCTCCTGTGCTTCTCCTCCTCAGCCCTCCCCTCCTCACCCTTTGAGCCTCTGGCAACCACCAAATCTGTTTATCATCTCTGTAATTTCACCTTTTCGAGAATGTCATCTAATTGGAATCATACAGTATGTAGCCTTTCCAAGCTGACTTCTTAATAAAATGTACTTAAGATTCTTCTATATCTTTGTGTGACTTAATAGTTTTTCTTTCTTTCTTTTTTTTTGTAGAATAATATTCCATTGTACAGATGTACCACAGTTTGTTTCTCCATTCACCTTTTGAGGGACATCTTGATTGCTTCCAAGTTTTTGCAATTATGAATAAAGCTGCTATAAACGTTTGTGTGCAGTTTTTTGTGTGTCAGTCTTGATAGTTTCAAGGAATTTTTTTTTTTTAAAGATTTTATTTTTCCTTTTTCTCCCCAAAGCCCCCCGGTACATAGTTGTATATATTTTTTTTAGTTGTGGGTCCTTCTAGTTGTGGCAAGCGGTGCCATGTCCACACCCAGGATCTGAACCAGCGAAACCCTGGGCTGCCAAAGCGGAGCACACGAACCTAACCACTCAGCCACAGGTCCGGCCCTGGTTTATTTCGTTTTAACTTATCGTATTTGCAGGCATAGAGTTGTTTGTAGTATTTTTTTATTATCCTTTTAATGTCCGTGGGATCAGTAGTGATGTTCCCTCCTTCATTTCTGATGTTGGTAGCCTGCCTAGAAGTTTATCGATTTCATTGATCTTTTTAAAGAACCAGCTTTCTTCTTATTTATTTTTTATTTTTTTATTTTTTAGATCGGCACCTGTGCTAACATCTGTGGCTAATCTTTTTTTTCCTTTTTCTTCTCCCCAAAGCCCCCTGGTACATAGTTTTATATTGTAGTTGTGAGCGCCTCTGGTTGTGCTATGTGGGACACCACCATGGCCTGATGAGTGGTGCCATGTCCGTGCCCAGGATCTGAACCAGCGAAACCCTGGGCTGCCAAAGCCGAGCCTGCGAACTTAACCACTCGGCCACGGGGCTGGCCCCCCCAGCTTTCTTTTTAAAGAACCAGTTTCACTAATTTTTCTCTTACTGTTCTGTTTTCAGTTTCATTGGTTTCTGCTCTAATTTTTGTTATCTATTTTCTTCTGGTAGACTTAGGCTTAAATTGCTCCTCTTTCTCTGGTTTTCTAAGGTGGAAGCTTAGGTTATTGATTTCAGATCTTTCTTCTTTTCTAATATATGCATTGAATGCTATAAATTTCCCTCTAAGCTCTGCTTTTGCTGCATCTCACAAATTTTAATAATTGTATTTTTATTTTCAGTTCAAAAATATTTTTAATTTTTCTTGAGACTGTTTAATTTCCAGATAGCTGAGGATTTTTTAGCTTTCTGTTACTAATTTCTAGTTTAATTCCATTGTATTTAAGAACATACTTTGTATGATTTCTATTTTTTTAAATCTGTTAAAGGGTGTTTTATGGCCCAGAATGTGGTCTACATTGGTCTACATTGTGAGCCAGAAAAGAATGTGTGTATTTGGGTGTTGGATAGAGTTTTCTATAAATGTCAATTAGATCAAGTTGATAGGGCTATTCAGGTCATCTCTTTCCTTACTGATTTTCTATTGACTTGATCCATCAATTGCTGACAGTGTTGTTGGAGTCTCTATACTAGTGGATTTCTTTCTTTCTCTTCATTTTGCTCAGTTTTTGTTTGTTTCTTTTTTCCTTTTTTGGTGAAGGACATTGTCCTTGAGCTAACATCATTTTGTATGTGGGCCACCACCACCACATGGCTTGATGAGTGGTTGTAGGTCTGCACCCAGGATCCGAACCTGTGAACCTTGGGCTGCTGAAGTAGAGCACACAAACTTAACCACTAGGCCACTGTGCTGGCCCCTGCTTCATGGGTTTTCATACCCTCTTGTTAGGTGCATACATGTTCAAGATTGTTAAGTCTTTTTGGAGAATTGTCCTCTTTATTCTTATATAAATAAACCCTCCTCACCCATGATTATCAGACAAAATTTGCTTTGTCTCAAATTAATATAATTACTTCAGCTTTCTTTTGATTAGTATTAGACTGGTATATGTTTCCATCACCTTACTTTTAACATATCTAAGTTTTTAAAGTTAGTTGCTTGTAGACAACATATAGCGGATCATGTTTTGTTTTGTCCACTGTGACAATCTTTTGATTGGTGTATTTAGACTATTCACATTTGAAGTGGTTATTCATATAGTTGGATTAATACCTTCCATGTTTGTGTTTTGTATTCGTTGGTTTTCCCTTTCTTTGTTTTGTTTGCACTGAGGAAGATTAGCCTTGAGCTAACATCTGTGCCAGTCTTCCTCTGCTTTTATATATGGGTTGCTGCCAGAGCATGGCTGACGAGTGGTGTAGGTCCTCACCTGGGATACGAACCCTTGAACCCAGGCCACCGAAGCAGAGTGCACTGAACTCAACCACTACGCTACAGGGCCTGCCCCACCTTTGTTGCTTTTTAATTAGGCATTTTATTTGATTTAACTTTAATCTCCTCTCTTAGTGTATATTAGTTACCTATTCCTATTAGTAACAATAACACAAATTTGGTGATGTAAAACAACACAATTTATTATCCACAGTTCTTGGATGTTCTGGTTTTTTCTTTCTTTCCCCTCTTTGTGTTTCAGTTTTCAGTTTGAGAAGTATTTATTGACCTATATTCAAGCTCCCTGTTTCTTTCTTCGGCTGTGTGGAGTCTGTTGATGAGCCCGTGACAGGCATTCTTCGTTGCTGTTACAGTGGTCTTGATTTTTAGCATTTCCTTTTGATTCTTAGAGTTTCCATCTCTGTTTTTACAATATCCATCTGTGCTTACATATTGTCTTTTTTTTTCCGTTAGAGCTCATAACATATTAATTACAGATATTTTAAGTTCCCTGTTTGATAATCCCAAAGTCTGTGTCATCTGAGTCTGCTCTAATGATTGCTTTGTTTCCCCAGACTGTCTTTTCCCTTGCCTTTTGGTATGCCTTATATTTTTGTGGTGTTGTTTTTGAAGGCCTGACATGTTGTATCAAGTAATAGGAACTAATAGGGGTTTGGCTGTGCTTCATGTTTGCTGTAGCTACTACAGATGCCAGAGCCTTCAAATTCTTCTTGTCTCCTTGTTTTTATCTGCCCTCTTGACTTTGGGGTTTTCCAAGTACTCTTCCTGAGAGTCCGTGTCTTGCAGCTCCTTCAGCTGTAACCCACCTTTAATCTGTTTGGAGCCCTGTTGATGTGGTGGTAAAGTGTCAGGGAGATAAGAGCTCTGTCATCTTCTGATTGAATCTCAGCCTGTGTCTCAGGGCCATGACCTGCACAACTGTTCTCCAGACGTGTAGTTTTTTCCCCTAAAACCTGCTCCCTTCCCTAGCTGCAGTGTTTCCAATCTCTTTCCTGGAAGCCTTGACCTTTGTTGATTATCTTTCCCCCCTTGGGTCTGGCTGGAAGGCTAGAAGGGGCTGGAGTGGGAGGAATGCCTCTTCTCACCCAGGAGAGCGCTCTGACAGTATCTTTTCCCCTGGAGCATATGCCTTAGTTGTGGAGACGGCCGTGGGTGTATTTCACAATGGTTATTCTTCCCCTTCCCTACTAGGGTCAGGAGGGGGTCTTTCTGGGATCTTCACCTTCATGGTGAGGACCACAGAACTGTGTGCGCCCCCCACCCCCAAACTGCATCCCGGGAGTTTCTCACTCTCACACCAGTTCACGCCCAGCCTCCAGCACCAGTTTATGGCTCCAGCAGCCTCTGCTCCAGGTAAGCAGATCTCAGCTGTGTGTCTCCAGATTTTCGGTGGCATTTTGCCATGTAACTTCAGTTCTCTGATGAGTCCCATCCGTTTGTCCAACTTTTTCTTGTTGTACAGATGGGAATGATAACTTCTAAGCTCTTTTCATGTTAGAGCTGAAACCAGAAGTCACCCCCATTCTTTTTAACTTAGATTTTATGACTTGTTATCATCTTGAGTGAACTAGATGCAGAGGTCCAGGACTGCGGTGTTGTAACTAGGTTTGATCATGTAGGCTAAATTTGCTATTTTATGTTTATCATCTGATTAATAATGATTTCAAGCTACATTGCATGATAGCTTTTGCTTTCCTTAGAAAAGCTCATCACTTGGAAATGTTCTTTTCTTGCAGGCGTAAAAATATCTTGTAACTCTTCAGAAAAGCTTTTTGTGTGCATTATTTTGTGTTTTCTAGGCAATAAAAGTTCTGTCTTTATTAGATTTTCTATTTAGAAATAAAAATTAGGATGTGTAAGAATTTGTCTAGTTGTCTCTTTTTCTGCTGAAACCTGATTTTATTAGTTTGGGTTCCTCCAGAAGCAAATCCTGAGATAGAAATTCAAATCCACATTGTTTATTTGTGAGGTAGTCCCAGGACACACCAGTAGGGGAATGAGGAAGTGAGAGGTAGGAAAGTCAGCCAGTAAAGGGTACAAGTCACGCCAGTTTCCACTCTGGGCAAATACAGCTTAATCGTTCGGGGGTACTCTGGGAGCCAGTGTAGAATACAGGTGCCAGAGTTATCCTGAGGGAGAGGTTGTGAGGGAGCTGGGTATTTTTACTAGTCCACTGTTGAGGCTGCCCCCAGGGAGGAACACGTTCTCCCATACTTGTGGGCCTTCCCTGCACATGGGCAGATGGACTCCAGAGGCCAGAGATGTGGGGACTGGCACTTGGAAGCCAGACCTGTGCAAGAAGGTAAGGCTCAAGAAGATGTGCAAATGACAGTGTCTGCCATATTAATTTCCTGCAGCTTGATTCAACTGAATGAGCTAGGATAGAAATTGGCCATTTGCTAGATAGATTAGATTTGTCAGCTTTCTAAACCTCTTGAGGTGGTAGATTGCATTCAGAAAGGAGTTTTCTAAAAAAGGCCCAAGATTCTGTCACGTTACGATTTGCTGATGGTCTCTTTTTGGCAATAACTAGCCTGTTCACTTTGGAATACAAAATCAACAGTGTTGAATGTCGCCCTGGCCTTGCACTTCTGGTAATGGCAGACTGGGTAACCTGGTTCAAACCAGTTGATGCTTCTGAAAAGCATGAGAATTTTCAGGATAGTAAAGAATTACTTGGGCTAAGATTTAAAAGCTGATAGAAATCCAGAGAGGTGAACATCTTGCCTGGGGCCACTCTTGCCATTGGAATTTGCTGTTCTGGAAAAGCAGCTGAGATCTGAGCCATGCAGTTGACTGACTCACAGGGTGAGAGAACAGAAGCTGCAGTCTAGGACTTGCTATAGGTGAGAATCCTGGTGAACCACCATGGTTAACGTGGAAATCTTGAAAGGCTGCAGCCTGAAATACAAGTGGACTGGGGGTATGCTAGCCTTTCCTTGAAGCCCCACTAAGTCATTTAGGAGAAATTGCTGAAATTGGATTAACATAATCTCAGATTACTGGTGACCCCAGGCACCTAACAGAGGCAAATGAAACTTCTCTCTAGAGGAAGATAACGTCATCTTAGGCCTCAAGTTATTTCTGCAGTGACTTTTCAAATACGGTGTCCAGCACACAAGCGAGTCAATGTAATCAGGCATGCCAGGAGACGAGCTGAACAAGAATCAACACAGATAACAGACGGTAGAAACAGCATTTTACACAATGGAAAAAGCACAGACCATAAAACATTGTTTACTATGTTCATGGAGATTAAAGCTGAACTTAAACATTTCAGCAAGGAACTGGAAATTATGTAAAGGGACAGAGCAGTTTTGAAAAAGAATCAACTAAGTACTAGATTTAAAAAATACTGTGACTGAAATTAAGAATTCAGTGGATTAATAGCAGATTAGAAAAGTAATGAACTGAAAGATCAATAGAAAGATCGTACCTCCCTGAATGAAGTAGGAGAGAGAAAAAGGATAGAAAACACTGAAGAGTGTGTAAGAAATCTAGAGGATGTAGTGAGAAAGTGTAACATATATTTAATTGGAATCCTAGAAGGAGAGAAGGGAGAATGCAATAGAAGGAATATTTGAAGAGGTAATGGCTGACGATTTTGAAAACTGATGAAAGATATGAATCCACAGAATAATGGATCCCAAGCAGGGTAAAGTATTTTTTTAGAAAAAGTTTTCCACTTCTAAATAACAGTCCGAGGCTCATTTTCTTTACAGTGGGTTGGTTCCTTGCTTGCTGCCTGTCTGCCTACTTTCCGTCCTTCCTCTTCCCTCCCTCCTTCTCTTTCTTTCTAATTTTAGCAGTGTTTTTCAGTATTCTGAGGATAAGTGTTTTTCTAACATGAAGATTTACACAGTCTTTTATCACATTTATATAATTTATATACTGGAGTTCCAAAGATTTTGATTGGAAAATAGGATGTAATTGCCATTTGAATTGAAATTCATTGAGAGAAAAATACTAAAGACAAGATAGGCTTTCCAGACCTAAAGGAATTTTGGGCAGAATATTTAGGGGACAGAGCCCCTCACTAGCACTCCTCAGTCATGGTCACAGGTAGCCCCACTCCATCTGCCCCAGATGGATAGGCAGAGAGCCTCTCACAGGTGAAGGGCATCCTTAGGAACGACAGTATGCTTAGGTTGCAGATGAGGACCCTTTTTAGAGTACAAGGGGAAACGTAATAATTATGAGTGATAATTATGGACCTGGACGTGTGGTTGTTCTAGGTAACCCCAAGGGGAGGTTACCCATATCTTTATGTGGAAACATAAGTTTATCTTAAAAAAATCGCTAGATGACTTACGTTTTTTAAAGAATGGCAAACAGGAAATCATTGGACTCTTCCTTTCTAGGTGGTATAACAAAAAGTGATTAAGGACGTAGGTTTGACATCAGATGACTGGGATTCAAATCTCAGTTTCTCCACTTCCTAGCTGTCTGTCTTTAAAGCAAGTTACTTAATTTCTCTAAGATCAAGAGGATAAGAAGGTAAGAAGCCTGTTCTTTCTATTTCACACCCTGGGCCAGTATTTTGTCCTTTTTTTGTTAGTCTTATGTGCATATTTGATGTAAGCCACTTTGTCAGCACTGTATACCCCAAGAGACTCATGAAGTGTTAGCAGAGCAAGACGCTTAACAGCTATTGTTTAAGGGTAGTCAACTCCACCAGTATTTCTTTGGGCCCTAGGACCAAGCTGGCTCTAGAAGCCCTTGTTGACCACGGAAGTACGTATGCTTGTTTATATTGGCTGTGCTTAAAGCTATTTTACTTGCTCAGTTATGTGGGTATCTCAGCTTTTTTTCTTGTTCGTTTATTTCATCTTCATCTTATGTACTTAGAGTTTAACCTTCCTTTTTATGGGCAGAAGGGGAACAAGAGATAATAGTTTTCATGTTTTTTGGGTTATAAGTGGTTAGTACTGTTCAGTTCATGCAGTTCTCTCAGGAGTTGCAATCTGAAGGCTGATCAACAGAACTTTTGCAGTTTTAATTTTTTTAATTATTTATTTTTTTAAGATTGACTTGTGAGCTAACATCTGTTGCCAGTCTTCTTTTTTTTTCCCTTCTTCTCCCCAAAGCCCCCCAGGACATAGTTGTATACTCTAGTTGTAGGTCCTTCTGGTTGTGCTATGTGGGATGCTGCCTCAGTGTGGCCTGATGAGCACTGCTAGGTCCCCGCCCAGGATCTGAACCGGTGAAACCCGGGCCACTGAAGTGGAGCGCGTGAACTTAACCACTCGGCCACCAGGCCAGCCCCTTGGAGTTTTTAAATTTGAATTTCTTTAGGTGAGGGACATGCCCTGCCACTTCCCACCACTCTTGTGTTTCCTCTCTCTTTCCTCATTTATCTACTTGGCTTCTGACCACATTTAATTTTATGACCCCCGTGTTAACATGATATGGGCTGTTTCTGTTGGAACTGAAAAAAAGACAGCTGCGGTCAGGGCTTTTCCTGAGCATGCCTGGCAATCTTGAATGGACGCTGTGCTCAGAAATGAATGAATTAGAATATGACAGATCATAATAAAAAAGGTTTGATATATATAGTAGAATATGTAGTTAGAAAGGTATTGAATGTAATGATCCCATGAAATAAATGTTTGGTGTGCAGGCCTTTATGAGGCTGTGGTCGCTTTCTGCTTGTTGTTTTCTACAGGTCTTAACCAGGGAGGGCTGCTACTTTCTACTTTGGCATTTGATCAGAGAGGGTGTTAAAGAATAAAGGCCAGCCTCTACCAGCCCTTATTCACTGGTCAACCAGGTGTCCCAAGTTTGGTTATTTTAGATGCTTTGTCATTTGTAATGTTGTCTGTCCTTTCAGTTTCCTTTTCTTTAGTATTAAATTTGCTTCGTTCTCCCATCGACATTACCATGTGGTTTTCCTCTGCGTTTGAGATATAATATATAGACACTATGTGTGTTTATGTTCTTGATTTTCTTATAGAGAGGAGATTCATAAATATCTGAGGGATGTCAAAGGATTATTCCCAGGGAGCATATGATGTCTGGAATTTGCTCTGAACCTTTCCTAATTCAATAATCTCCTTATTTGTAATTATGAAAGATGTTGGTGGCAGTGTTTTCTTCTAGTCTTCCAAGGTGGATAAGGAATGAGAAGGAATAATTGTATTTGTGTGTTGTCATCACCTGGTAATTTCACCGGGGTGTGTAGGAAGGACACTGTTGTAAATCAATATTTGTACTCACATGGCTGTAGCTGAGTTAAAAAATGAATATGTCTCTTTTATGGAAAAAGCTAAAAAAGTTTGCTGTCTGACAGTTTGGAATATAGAGTATACTGATGAGAAAATAGCTGGAAATTACTGAAAGGTAAATATTTAACATTTAAAGAAAGACGTTTTAAACTTCATTAAGTATTTTGAAAATTATTTTGTAGTGAAGAAAAATGACAGCTGTTCTGTTCAGTTAAACAGAATTGTCTTAGTCTTTTAGTAAAAAAAGATGGATGTTAAAAGAGGCATATGAATTACAGACCAGATAATGGTTCATAGAGGAAAAACAGTTTTTTACTTGTGCTTTTAGAATATTTGCTCAGTGTTCAAATTTTATTCTCAAATTTTTAACAAATTAATAGAATTAAAATATTTCTTCCTTTTAGTGTGCTAAAATCCTCTTTGCTTCTGAGGTTAAAAGAAGAGGCCATCATACTTCATTCAAAGCCTTTAAATATGTAATCCTCTCCAAATTTCTTCCTATATTTTTAAGTTAGGAAATTTTTTCCTAAGAATTTTTTTACCTTGATTATTAAAGAAATACATATTCTTTGTAAAAAATATTTTAAATGAAGAAAAGTAAACAGAAAATTATGCATTATGCCAATAATCTGAGTCTATTTAATTTAGTTTTTGGTAATTTCCAATAGCAGTATAACATTTTATATAGATAGTATAGAGAGATTAAAAATAAGTAGCAGAATTTGCAGCAAAACATTAATAGTGGTGAGATTTCAGGTGGTTTTTAATTTTTAACTTTTTATTCATCTGTATTTTCTGATTTTTTAGCATAATGACAGAGTTTAAAATATTAATTTCTGGCACTTTGTGTGGTATCTAGCATGTAGCTCCTACTGTGTTCCTAGTAATAGCCTTATCTTTAGGATTATTTAATGATTTTTAGAAGAAAAATGTGAGATTGTTTAGTACATTTAATAATCTATGAGTGGAAGATGCATGGAATGATTTAAATTATCTTTAGAGTGACATTGCATAACAGGCATTGTTTTAGTCAGCTTTATGTAATTTACTTTATGGAGCATACTTTAGAAGCTAGTGTGTACTTTGCACTTTGTTCTTTGTTAATAGAAAATGACTCTGAAAAAAGCTTCTCAGAATGGGTCTTCCTCGCTCAAACTGTTGTGCCATTGAGAAATACCCCTCAACTCTAATCTGATAATGATGATGGAATTTATATTGAGTGAGATCTTGTGAGATTTTAGACCTCTCTGACCTATGTAGTTTGCCGAAAAGCATTTTGATATAACAACAGTAGATACTAACAGTAGCGATAATAAGTTTGGTTTTTGAACAGACTAAAGCTATGTGCTTAAATTGTTATTTGCGTATTTTTGTATACACATTTTACTGGTTTCCTGGATTGCATTGTAGTGCAGGGCTGCCCTTCACCTATAAAGATGAAGTCTTGCTTTTAATCCTGCCTCTCTATTCTATTTTCCTCCCTCCTAATGGGTATCAACTTTTTTTTTTATGGTTTATGGGGAATGCTAGAAACCAACTCAATATTATGCCTTGTCCTTCCTTTGCTTTATCCTTCCTTTGTTTTATAATATAAGCAGTTAAGTGTGTGTATGTAGATATATTTATATATAGAATTCTATATATACTCTTCTCTATCTTACTTTTTTCACCTGACAACGTATCTTAGCATTTAAGCCACAGTAATATTTGGAGATATTTCTCTTTCCTTTTTTACAGCTGCATGTTATTCTGTGGTGTGGATATTTCTTAGTTTGTTCAACCAATTGAACAAACTATTCAGACTAATCAATTGGATTGATTCCAGCCTCTTGCTATTACAGATAGTCCTGTAGTGAATAGCCTTGTACATACATTGTTTCCCTTTTTTACCCTTGTGGGATAAACTCTGAGGAGTGATACAGCTAGGTCAAAGGGTTAAATGCATATGTAGTTTTACTAGATGTTGCCAAATTGCCCTGCGTAAAAGCTATACCACATGTAAGAGTTTCTCTGTAGCCCCGCTGTCAGAATGTGTTGTCACGCTTTTGGATTTTTATAAATCAAACAAGTGCAAAATGGTATCTCAGTGTGGTTTTAATTTGCATTTCTCTTATTATGAGCAAGGTTGATCATTTTTTCATACGGTTAGGAACCGTTTGTGTTTCTCTTTCTGTGAATGGTCTATAGGGTGGTTGGTCCTTTTCTTTATTGTTAGAATCTTTTATTCGAGACTGATGAGACCCTAAGGTGATCCTCAATGATTTCCTGACACCTAGTTCCCTCACTTTGTGTTGTTCCTTCCCTGTGAGTAAGGGTGAGACCTAGGACTTGCTTTTTTTTTTCTCTCCCCAAAGCCCCAGTGCGTAATTGTATATCCTGGTTGTAGGTTGTTCTAGTTCCTCTGTGTGGACCCGCCACACCATGGCTTGAGTGGTGCTAGGTCTGCACCCAGGGTCCAAACTGGTGAACCTTGGGCTGCTGAAGCTGAGTGTGCAAACTTAACCACTTGGCCACGGGGCCAGCCCCAGGACTTGCTTTTAACTAGCAGAATATGGTGAGGGTGATAGAATGTCAGTTTCTTAGTAAGTTTAGGTTATATGGCAAAGATGATAGGATGTCACTCCTGTGACCATATTATGTTATATAAGAATCCGTCTTAAGCAGGCTGGAGTAGGGGACTCCTCATTGTCAGCTTAATGAAGTTAGGGACCATGTTGGTGAAGCCCATGTGGCAAGGAGCTGCAGGCAACCTGTAGGGTCTAAGGGCAGCCTCCAGCAGACAGCCATTAAAAAGCCAGGGCCTGTCTGTCAAACGGTCACAAGGAAATGAATTCTGCCAACAACCTTGCTGAGTTTGGTACCAGTTCTTCCCCAGTCAGGCCTCCAGATGAGAGTGCAGCTTGACTCATGCTTAGCTTGAAGCCTTGTGAGACCCTGAGCAGATGATCTGTTTAAGCTGTGCTCAGACCCTTGATTCTCAGAAATTGTGAGGTAGCACATTTGTGTTGCTTTAAGCCACTAAGTTTGTGGTAATCTGTTGTACACAATAGGTAACTAATAGGGAGATACTGCCTTTTTGTCTATGAGCCAGGTTGCAAGTATTTTTTCTATTTTCTCATTTTTCTTTTTTACTTTTCTTTTAGTATCTTTTGCTCTCTCTTTTTTTTGCTTTGTTTTTATGTAATCTAGTTTATCTATCTTTTCCGATATTGTTTCTGAATTTTCAGTCATAGCTAGAAAAGTTTGCCCACTTCCAGATAGTACAGGAATTTA